TGGGGTGGGGCGTAGTGGCGCGCAGTGGCACGCACAACACTATCCCCTGCAAACAGCGCGCCAACCCTGGCGCAGCCAGGCCACTAGCGTCCACAAAACACGGACAAGAAAACAAATTTAAAATAAAAGAGTTGAAGGTAAGCGTGGAGTAGTGGTAGGAGAGATGGAGTGGGAAGAGGGACGGATAGGGTAGGGAAAGCGTTTCAGAAAATTTACGCTGGGTTCATTCGAAAGAGTGCGAAGGGGCGCTGCGTAGAGTGTTAAAAGGAAGGAGCGGCCCTTGCGAGCTCTCGGAGAGAAACTACCGGCGGTCACTGTCCGAGGTGGGGCGTTGTGGATGGTTGGGGGGAAGGCGGAGGCCGGGGGTTGAACCCACGAAAAACCTTATGTCTGTTTCGATGCCTCTGTTTAACAGTATTGGAAACCACGCCGCAATCATGTGGCAAACAAAAACAAGCAAAAAAAAAAACAAACTTGTTTTGATTTTGCTGTGTGCTGAGTCCCAATCATACTGTCCGTAACAACCACTGGGGCTGTACAGAGGGCTAATTTTAGCTTGTGAACGGACAAGCATGCATTCCCGCGCACGGCTGACGTAACTCGCCAGCGCCGCGCGCCCCTACTGCCGTGGAGGAGGGCAGGAGAAATTACCATAAAACAACGGGGCAGCGCCGAAACCAAAGCGTGTGTAAGGTAACAAACGGCGAGTACACCTCCGCGGGAACGCCTCCCCCCTCCCTTGCATCTGCTGCTCCCCTTCGAACCCCCCCCCCCCTTTTCGGTCGGTTGTTTCGGTTTTGTGACGTAATTTACGAACCGCCCCCTGACAACACTCGGCTCAACTCGAGAAGGCGGTGCTGCGCTCCGCCGAGGAAGTTTGGCCGGCCAACAACTTTGGTCAGGTAACATATGTTAGTTCCCCCACTTGAGGGAGCCTTGCAGTGCGCGGCCGCGCGGTAAGGGGATGTCTGCTCCCCTACCCCCGACCTCCCGCCACCCCTTTCTCATGCTAGTTTGCTCCCACGGGCTCGTACTCATATTTCTTGCCGCCTCCCGCCAAATTTACGCTCGCGTTCAAAGTCGAGTTAGTTCAGTTAAGCGAGGCTGACTTCACGCCCGAGTAGTGACCTAGTTTTGTCTACGAGAGAAAGAAGGGGGGTCCTTGGGCGGTGGTCGTGGTCTAGGCGAGCGTAACGCTGTGGGTGAAGTAACAAAAAAAATTCTCTTGCGACGTTTCTCAGCACCGTCACGAATGTTTTCTAAAGGTGAAGGGTACGGTGAGCAAATATTTGCGTCCCATAAGGCTAATGCCCGGGTGCTAACCAAGTGAATCCTTTTGCGCAGGCTCCGCAAGAGGCTGACCACCGAGGGTGACGACCCCTTCAACAACGACGACCTCGACACCGCCTACGAGGCTCTGGGAGTCGACGACGAGGGCAACGTCGCCACCAGCGTCCTCATCGAGGCCCTGTGCTCCGGCGGCGGTGGCGAATAGATGATATCAGCAGGATCCCATCAAACAATACCATCGTGGGAGAGCGAGAGAGAGAAAGACGGAGAAACGTGGACCAGAGAGATGATGATGATGGTGATGAAGACAAAGGAAAGAACATCGTCGAGTGGATGACGGAAACAACCAAGACAAGGAAACAAGCCAGCAATCCATTTGGCATAACAACGATTTCGGTGCAACTTATTACAGGACGTTATTGTTAATAAGTCCAAAATGACGTTTGTGTACAATCAAAATAAATTACTACAATAGTTTTTATTTGACACGATCTCTGTGATGGTAAAGGAGTCTGGCATCCTCTCAAGATCATACTTTCGCTGTTTTGTGGGAAGTTATTCGGATCACCGGGGCTTATGTCTCGCATAATGAGAAGGAACATTCCTAGTGTGCTAAGGGGAATTTTTATTCTTTTCCATGCCATTGCTAATTGTTGTATTTGACCATAAGCACCAAATATACATTCACGAATTTCTTTTTAACTTTGAAAATGTATTCAGTCAGTGGCATTTCTATACATATAGTGAGAATTTAAATGGGAGTGCCCCTCAGCAGGGGAACTGTGGTACGTAGCTCGGTCGGTAACGTACCCTAGGGCCCTCGGGTACACTGATAAACTAAGTGTTCAACTGCTCAACACTTGTAAGTGTGAAACTGCAAGTTGGATACGTGCAAGTGTGTAATTCCATATTCGCAAGTGTTTAACTCGATAGGTGTGCACTTGAAAGTGTGCAACTCCCTGGTTGAACACTTCCTTAGATTGTACGCTCACTGTGTAAGAAGTGCTCAACCGAGGAGTTGCACACTGGCAGATGCACTCCTACCGAGTTGCACCCTTGCAAGGATTCAACTTGTAGTTGCGCACTTGCAAGTATTTAACTTGCAGTTCCACACTGACAAGTGTTGAGCACTTAGTTTATCAGTGAATGTAACCCATACTCGGAGATCATACCCATACGGCACGGGCATGGTATCCAGGGTACGTACCCCAGCGTACGTTACCGACCGAGGTACGTACCTTGGCTCCCCTGCAGAAATGAACCACCAGCTTTAAGTTTGCTGATTCATTTTATTCATCTTTTCGGTGAAGACACTTACATAAAAGTACATACACACAAATAAGCACACAGACACACATGAAACTAGTCCCACCCACGAGCACTGAGAAGTGCTCGATCTTGGGGGCGAAACATTCTCTACTGCAGCTAAGCGTATCGTCTTCCTTTGTGGACTTTCATCCAGAAAATATTTTTTTTAAACATATTTTTTTAAAAAATGACTTTTATAAGAAAACTTAGTTCAGTCACCAGTTCACTGAGATATACGTAGCTTCATCGTGACACTCGCACGGTAGCCTCTTAATCACATATCCTCGAGTGTCAACTGGAAAGTACATTTTGTGTAAAATTCTAGAGTATAGGCCCTTACAATAAAAGTTTCCAAATAAACTGGTCCTAGCAAAGTTTGTTCTAGGCGCAGTTATGCTAAACAACGGGAAAACATTCGTCAGCGTGTCCCTCACACAAATGGGGAGGAAATATACACAGCTAATCAGCTGCATCATGGACGTAATTCTTACAGAATTTCAAAGGGTATTCTACTTCAACAAATAAGCCGGGTTAGAGGGCATTTTAGTAATAATAAAGATACAATCCATGAATTTCCAATGAAACACCAAATCATGAATGCTCCTCCATTTTGAAAACGAGCTCATAAGGTACTGCATTTAAAAATACATTCTAGCTTTTAATCTGTACAATTTGGCAGAAGGTTTATGATTAAATATTTACACTGGCCTTGGGCGTTAAGTAATTCTGACATAAGCACATCGAGTCGATGGAACACATAGATAGTGGCGGTCCTTTTCTCAAGGCAAATTCATTACATTAAGGTCGCATACTTAAATAAATCTTTGAAGGAATTCAAATAAAATAGTCTTCACACGCACTCAGCCTCAAAAGGGTTTGGCCATCAACAGAAAAAGGTTATCGTTTACATAATGTAAGGAACAGCTAAGTGCAGCTCCACAGTCTTCACTCGTATGAAAACTCGTAGATTCTACTTTCTTTCTCTTATTTACAAATAACTTAAATCATCCGGAAAATTTCCGCACACTCTCGACCGCGCCACGTGTGGGAATACCCGGCCATACACACATGTACACACGCAGCACATGCACACGCTCACTCCATTACAATTTACACGTATGGCTACTATTTACACACGCACGCTCACGCTCACGCTCCGCATGCCTCATTCATAACCGCCGCATTGGGCCGCACGCGCAACGCACACCCACTCGAGCCACTCACTCAACGCCCCGCGTCCCCCGGGGGAAAGGTCATACATACGTTCACATCAACAGCTCACCTACGCACACACACGCCCACGCCCATGCACACACACACACACACACACGCGCACACAAACAACCACACACAGGCACCCGCACACTGAATGTCGGCCGCTCCCCCACCTCTCCATCACAAGGCACTCCAGGAGTCGAGAGAAGAAGAGAAAAGAGCACACTGCAAAAAACAACCTATTGCCAATATTGTGAAAATTGCTGTCGTACACTCTACGGGACAGTTTAAAACTGAACTTCCAGTGTCTTTTATCCGACAATTTGAAACAATAAACCAGTTTACTTGCAGATTTTTCTTCACAGTGCACTCCGTTCTACCCCTCGCTGCTCCGGACGGAACGGACAGCTGACCTAGCGGAAGTCAGTTCGCTTCCTCTTTTGTCATCTGGAGTCGGAACCGTTGTTGAGGTCGCTGTCGTCGCCGGCCAGCAGGCCGTAGGCGCGGCTGGCGTTGGCCGGGTGCTGCGCGCAGTGGGGCAGGTGCTGGTCGTGGGCAACGCTCACGCCGCCCCCTGCGCCGCCCCCGACTCCGCCCGCTCCAGCGCCCGCCCCCAGCAGTCCGGACGCGCCCGAGCCGCCGCCCGCGCCACCACCCCCGCTGTGCGATGCGTAGCTGGAGAGGCCCGCGTGCAGGTGGTGGGCGCTGGCGTTCGCGCCCCGCACCCCCAGCTGCGAGCCGTCAGAGCCGCGCCGCGTCTGGTTGCTGCGTTGACTGCTTTTGCGCCCGCCAGCACCGCACAGGCACCTAAAACAGTGATATATGTTTTGTTGTTGATTTTTTTAAAAAATTATCAAAATGCACATGTTTCAACATTATGGACTTGTACTTTCAAAACATTAAAAACGTTAAGAATATTCCAACGGAAACAATATTTTGCTCCTAAAAGTTTGGTAAATCAGCCAAGCACCCACCTGCAGATGATGCGCTTGAAAGCGAATCGGAAGTCGTTTGAGAAGAGCGCGTAGATGCAGGGGTTGATGGCCGAGTTGCAGTAGCCGAGCCAGAAGAGGACGGAGAAGACGGTGGGGTTGATGCACTCTGGGCAGAAGGCGCGCACGAGGTACATGGTGAAGAAGGGCATCCAGCAGCAGATGAAACCACCCACGATGATGCCCAGGGTCTTGGCCGCCTTCGTCTCCATGCGGAAGCGTTTCACCTGCAGCGGGGAGATGCACAGTCAGGATGGGCAAGGCGAGGCTTGGGGAGCGCCATGCAGGCCATGCGACCATCCACATTAGAAATAGTACTTCATTTTTGTTCTTCTAACGTCTACTCTACTTAGAATAATGTAGTGCAGGGTATAGTGCAATTTGGTTCAAACAACAACAAAGCCGAACTTTGAGTACTGCATTCAAAACAACGTGTTATTTCCTAGTGAGCAGCATATACGCATTACTTATTCATCATTACGTTACAATCGCTCCGCAGGTGCGAACCTCACGTGACTGAAGGGAAAAATAACAAATGTGGATGTCCGGCATTAATGCCAACCCCCCAAAAACAGTTTTGGGAGGACGTCGCTCAAGAAAAAATTTACCCTTGTGTGTCCAGAGTCTTTGGAGTTCTTCGAGTCTACACGACGGAAACGCTTGACCTGCGCAACCCAAAGAGACACCGTCATGAGCGAGTAGCAAACGGAACTGACCTTGACAAAAACAAATTAGGCCAAACGGAAAAGGGCTCCATATAATAAGCACAGCGCCGCACGACAAGCTCCCAAAACGCGGAAGTGCTGCTTGGGGAGGGAGGGAAGGGGCGAGGTGGGAGGGGGCGTAGAGGAGCCAGCGGGGCCCTCGGGGGGACTGACTGGGCGCCCCTGTGGACAGTCCGCTGGACAGTCCGCTGGACAGTGTCCGCCCGTCCCAGTCAGGCGCTCCTTGTCCCGAGGCGGGACACGAGGGACAGTAATCGCATATGGGGGTTTGCTTTTGGGACAGGCGGGGACAGAGTGGGGCGCTGTACGGGTTCATTCAGGGCACTTGGCGAGCTGTCGCCTGTCACATTATCCCCGGGGAAGGACGGCGTCCGACCGAACAGGGAGGACAGCACGACTACTGTACCGTCTGGGGAGGTCAGTTGTTAGCTTCCTCGTGACACACCTGAGAGGGGGGTTCGGGGGCAGGGGAGGTGTAGCTGGTGACAGGGAGGACGGGCAGGGCGCTGGGGACCCGGAATGCCGTCGGAGCCAAAATGAAGAGAGGGGGTGGGGGAGCGGGAAAAGACAGCGGGACAGAGTAGGAGAGGGGATGAAGAGGTGGGGAGGAGAGGGAGGGACATGCGGGAGGCGACGAGAGTTAGGGGAGAGCAGAGAGAAAGGGCGCGGGGAGGGAGGCGGGGCGGCAGGGCTTCAAGGGAGCAGGAAATGAAAGGACTGCAGCCCGCGTGCGTCGGAGGGGGGGGGGAGGGCGTGGCGGGGCGTGGCGGGGCGTGGCGGGGTGCCGCCATGACGTGTGCGAATGCCCTCCGCCCCCACCTCGCCGCACCCCGTTGTGCCCGGCGCCCGGGCCGGATCCCACGTTACAGTGCCCGACGAGCAAAGTCAACAGTACCACAGTCAGCAGGGGGTCGAAGGCGCCTTGCCTCGCCTTGCCTTGCCTTGCCTCCTCCCCCCCGCACCCTCTACCCTCATTTCCCCCCCGTTTCGCCTGAACTCAAGAATTTCCGAAGCATACGTGAGCAGCAGCAGCAGCAGCGGGGTCAGAAAACACGCGGGCTGAGTTTGAAGTGGGGCCTCGAGGCGCCGAGCTGCGCTTTATTGTCAGAGATAACACGCTGCGGAAGGTCATGACAGGTGGAGGCAGACTGAGGAGGTCGGACCGACCGCGATAGCTGCATCTCATTTCCTTCTTTTAGTACGCACATGAATATGTATGCAGATACACACGAACAATTGTATAATTAATAGTCAAGTATACCAGCGGTCGCTCTTACTTTTTTCCCCTATCCCATTTCAAGGCGTTTGGTTGAGTCGAGAACGAGGTGGTTCCAATTTTGAAACGCTCCTTTTTGGACCTGTGGGTCAGGGGGTAGCCCAAACTAGATGATAAAACGTTCATCAAGAGAAAAACTGCGAAGACATAGTATTGGTGTGGTAACGCGCGTGCTCTAGACAAAATGCTGTACACATGGTGTTCACATCTACGCGCCTCTAACTCTACCTCTACCCTTTCGCATCTACTTTCTATTGTCTAATGGCTACCTGCACGGGCAAAGATGTCTAATTAATCAACTGAACCACATAGGCAGGAGTTAGGCATATTCGCACCTTTGACCTTTGAAGGATGCTAATAATTTTGATGCCTCTGCAGGGCAGAGCATGACAAATTTAACACCCTACTTAGACTTTTCAATGCACTAGAGGTGCGAAATGCTAAAGTCTCGTGCAATCTGGGCGGGCAGGGCACTTTTAAAAAGTGCTCTAAGGCCTACCTTAGCTTTTTCAGTACAAGCGCTTGAACAGAAGGAGGAGTGGGAACAAATTTGGCATAGGCTGCCGCGTAGCAAACGCCCCATTGGGTCTGATACAGGTCTCTGCCGACGTATTTGGCAGTGTTGGAGCTTTACAGGTGGGCAGCCCGGGGGTCAGCCTAGCCATCAGGAAAGCGTGGGGAGCGGTAAAACCAACCGCGATTGGCAGACTCGGTCCACTGAGCGCGCAGCGAGCACTGCAGCGCCACGCACCGCCACGCCGCCGGGCGGCTAGTAATTACCTACTGGGCTAGTGGAAATGCGGGGGGGGGGGAGAAGGAGAGAGAGAGTCAGAGTCAGCCAGACAGACAGAACTGACGCGCGCGCCTCGCGGATTTGACTCAATTTAGTTCCCTGATCTTCTCCTCTCTCTACACCGGGACGGGTGGGACGCGGGACGCACTGGTACAGGTAAGCTCCTCGACGACAGCGTCTCTACTCTACAGCACGCGGGAGAGCGGGCGGATCCCGCAGACCGCCGCATCCCCCCCTATCCCCCCCTCCCGGCAGCAGCCCTCCGCGTCCCCGAAGCAGAAGCAGGCAACTATGCTCTACGGTCGACAGGTTTCCGCTCAGCGGGTACTCGCCTGTGCCTTGATGTTCCGCTTGCCCATCTTGGAGATGAGCTTGGGCTTGTTGCCCTGCTCCTCGAAGGTGGGCGACGGCGTCATGTCGCGGCCGAACTCGCGCAGCTCCAGGTGGCCGTCCGAGCTCTCACGCGCGCACTCGGACTCGGTGGACGAGCGCCTCCGGCGAACTGAAAGGAAAACTGTTCACAAAATTTGTTTTGTTAACGAAAAAAAAAAGGGGGTTGTTTGGTTTGTTTGTTTTAAGCAATGGTGTGAGATACATTTTGAAAGTAAACAATATTGGAATTGAATATTGGGTTGTTTTGCCTCAGGCAGGACCTCACGTCCACTACTCACACTGGGACAGTCGCGACTGAGGCGTGACCTTGAGGTGGCTCGAGGGTGGCCTGTGGATGGTGGTGCCCGTGGGCGTGGTGACGGCCGTCACCGTGGTGGGCGACGCGCCGTTCGACAGCACGTTGAGGGCGATCGCCCCGCCGGGGCCCGTCGGCGACGAGGCCGACGAGAAGGAAGACTTCTTGCTCGCGTTGGGCGACGACAGCGGTCCCCCTGCAGAACAAAAACGGCGGAGATGTGGTGATTGTAATAACAGTAACACACGAGCGTGTGAAGATCTTTTATTAACGGTTGAAATTGATTTCAAAAGCCATAAATTAAATAGGCGCGGGATTTAAAATGTGTATTAAATTTGCATGCGCAGAGTATCGCGTCGGTCGGCTTGCTGGCTAACCCCGACCGCCTGCGGTGGACGGGGTAGGCAACTCAACGCGCACGGCTGCGCCCCCGGGCGGCCCGACCCGCCTCCACAGGGGCCGACTGGGCCGACCAGACCCGGTGTACGCGCGTGCCTCCGTCTGCTCCGTCGGCCGTTTCACGCACGGCTGACCTCGGAGCCTCTCTTTCGCCGCAGTAATTTTTAAAAAAAGTAACACAACGAAAACATGATATTTTCCCCCCATTCTGGCGATCGCGACGTAATGTGCTGCCGTCGGCGCCGCGTCGTGGGGGGCGGGAGTGGCGGCGCACCGAGACCAAAGTATAGGTTATGACGGCGGATGAATCGGGCCGTGATTTGGCACTGGCGCCATGGCGCCAGCCTCAGCCCGCTGTCCCCTCCCCCACCCACCCCCACTTCCTGATCACTTCCGGTGGACTGAACCAGCCGGCGGCGCAGCCCCCGGGCGCAGCGGCGCGGGGGCCCCCGCGCCCCGCGCGCCTGGACGAGCAGCTGGCTGAGTTACACTTTTCCGTCCGGCGCTGGAGACTTTCCAGCGGAAGCAGGTGTTTCCAGTAAAGAAGGGTGAGCGGCGCGGTGCATTAGGGCGATAAAGTGTAAGAGAAAGAGGCCAAGTGGAGGGGGGAGGGGAAGCGTCAGGAAACAAACGCTTACAGTCGTGCGTGCTCGGCCGTGCCAAATGATGATCTAGTGAAGTGAAGAAATTCGACTAAGCTGATCTGTGTGTGCGATGAGACGACTCGGGAAACTTTTGTTGAATGATTCGGTTGAACACTTGTTAGTCAAAAGCTATTGCAAATTCTCTTTTTAAGGGGTCCCTTTAGAAATAAAGTGTTTAGCGGTGGTCTCTTTGAAGCGCACTTTCACAGCCTTGTTGAAGCCTGTGAGGGAGCCCGACGCCGCCCGTTGGCTCGGCCGTTCCGTCATTTCCTGAACCGCGCCGGAAATCGAATCCAACCAAACGCACTTTGCACTTCCATCAAACGAGGCCAGAAGATTGCCTCTGCTAGCAGCGCATCCAGCCGAGTGGCTACTCGTGAGCTGCATTGAGTCACAATGAACCCACTATAAAGTGAGCCATTGGGAAGCCAGTCAATGGCTGCGGGCTATCAGCGAATTCAGCCATGAGTGGCTACTCGCCGAAAGGTGCAGTCAGCCACAAGAAGCAGCTAGTTAGCCACAAGAAGCAAACTAGTGAGCCACGACAGGGCCAAAGTCAACGGCTCGGCTAGCAGCGCATCCAGTCGCGTTCTCCTATGGGAGCGGCAGTGAGCCGCACGCAAGCCACCAGCGAGACACTAAACTGTGATGAGCCTCTAAGTAATCCAATGAAGTGAGGACAACTCCTTTTCCCTCTTTCCGAAAGCTGAAGCTACTCGGAGAGACAATAGAGAGCTCCTTAGTGAGCCAGAAGTGGCCCACTCTTCTCACTCGGTGAGCCATTAGCGCGCTCTCCGCGAGTCACTAGTGAGCCGCTCAGTGGGCGGCCAGGGCCAGGGGCACCGCCGCGCCTCTGGCGCACTGCTCTCGCTATGAAGCTCCTCCGGCCGGGAAACAGACTCGTCAGGTTAACGAGCGGGCTGGACCGGGCTGCCGGGGGGCGAGGCGCGAGGCCGGAGACCCGTGGCCCATCAGGCCCCATCACCATCACGACCCCCCCC